CCCAATGTTGGACTCAAACCACAACCTTGGGATTAAAGAGTCTCATGCTCTACTGACTGAGCCACTGTACTTTTAAATCCCCTGTGCAAAACTTATTGAGCAATACATGCCCTTTTAAGCTTTTGATCCACCAGCGCAGAGCTTCCTGAGGAAAACAACCTCTAATTATTTTAACCTTCCTATGAGCCTATGCAGGAGAACCTTTAAAACAAAAGCAAACATTTCAAGCTCAGGTCCCAATTCCAAAAACTAAACACAATAATGGCTGGAAGTTCCATTCCTTCACAATTTCAGTGCAGCTTTATCACCAGAATGTTAGAGATGGCTTCCAATCAGGAAATGAAGGTGGTCCCTTGTTTTGCTTGGCATCATCACTGTTGTTACTTGAGTTGCTCCTTGTCATTAACGATACCCTTCCAAACAGCCTTTTCAAACAGGGTGACCTCCTGGTGTTTTGGACTGCAACTCCCATCATCCCTGACCATTTGGCTTACTGGCTCATGGGACTCCCCAAAACTGAAAGAAGAAAGAAAAAGAAATCCAAATGGCTGGGAATGGAAACAGTTTATACAGGCAACCTCTGGTATACATTAGAGAGAGAGAGAGAAAGAGAGAGAATAGACAGATTGGTAGCTGGCTCTGGGAAACTGCAGCATTTTTGCCATACTGTGCTGGCTGCCTGAGGATATTGGCACAGATTGTTCTGGGACAGCTGTAAATCAGGCACTGATTCTCACTCCTCCTGGAAACGTACTCAAGAAGATAAATGCCTCAGCTTTCCCCTTTTCTCTGGGAAACTATTTCAGCAGCCAGTTCCATGATTTGCTCTTACTGAGAAAGGAGAGGAAAACAGACATTTGCTTGCATTAGAGCAGTGTTCCAATTTTGTTTTTTGAAAGGCACTTGTTTAAGTCCTTGTTTCCATTCAAACAGAGGAAGGTTACCCCTTCTTGAGATGCAAATTCTCAGGGAACCATTTTTCTTGGTATCAGAAGGCCATTGGCTATCAATATAGGACTTCAGACCCTTTCTTCATTACTCCATCTGATGAGGCCTGAAAAGCAGTAGAGTATTTGTCTGTGCCTCAATTTATTTATTTATCCATTTTAAATGTATATGGATCAGTGCTTTCAGCAGGCTGTCATATACAATAACCCCCATGTGTACTGCAGAGCTGGCATCAATCAATCTTTCTTTCCAGAGGACAGCAGTAAAGCAAAGTTTCCGTATTTTGAGCTGAATCATGTTGGCAATCTAAAGATTTGCATTCAACTGAAGACAGTAATCTTGGCATGTTTTGTGTGCGCTAGTTTCCACAGTTCTTGTACTTTCAGAGGCAATGTAGCGGCAGAGGCTCTTCCTCACATGATTGAACATTGTTCCATTTTCCAGATGGCTAATTCTGCACATCTTCCCTCTCCCACGTGTTTTCAATTAGAGGTTAACTGATTGGACAATTTTACTGTTGTGCCAAAATCGTTACAGAAAGAGCATCCCAGCCTGTGATCAGCTTCCTTTGTCTCTTTCTTCAACTCTCATGATATCCTCTCTATCAGCATTATCCCATGATGTCTATTTAGAAGCAAGTGCCACTCTTTTCTAGGCTAAACATACCCAGCTCCTTCAAGCATTCCTCATAATGCTTGATTTCCAGACCCTTGATCATCTTGGTTGCCCTTCTCTGCACAATTCCAGCTTGTCAAGAACCTGCTTAAACTGTGGTGTCCAGAATCGGATACAGTATTCCAGGTGTAGTCTGACCAAGGCAGAATAGAATACTATTACTTTCCTTGATCTGGACACTATATTTCTGTTCGTAGGAGCCAACTCTGAGGGTCTCTGGGGTCTTCACCCCCCCTCATAAAATATTTAAGGGGCCAGGCCCCTCCAAAGTTGATGTGCATTGTCATTCAAATGTCATTTTGAATGGCATCTGATCGATTATGAAGTTCAGGGCTTACTTCGGCCATGGAAGGTGGTAAGGGAAGTTGATGCTTGTCAGGGGCTGGCCAGTGTTGGATGCCAGAGACTGGTCCGACTGACCAGGAAGGATGACAGTCCCAGACAGAGCAGCCTTTAACAGAGGAGAAAGAGGATAATTGCCACCCCTTCTTTCAATGTTCTCAATAACAGCGAGAATAGTAGATTCAGAAGCCTCTCAGTTGGAGGAAATAGGCAGTCCTGATAATGTTGCTAGGCAACCAGGAGGTCGGGACCATTTGGAAGGCTCTTCCATTGAGAGCTGCGGTGATGCTCCTCCCTTCCTTTGGACTAGAAGGCAGGAAAGTGTTAAGGAGCAATGGAAGCACAGGGGCAGGAGGACGGGGAACTGGCACGCTTCATGCTGCAGAAGGGGAGGAGATTCAGGCAACTGATGCCTTAAGAGAAGTTTGCTCGATGCTGCTCTCTCTGTGTTATTATAAATAAATGGTCTATAAACCTGCTGGAGGCTCATTAATTCTTATCGGAAAACTCTCATTCATGCCTGCAGACTTGACAATGCTTAATGTATTGTATTTGGTGTATGTTAATGTGAAAAACTCTTAACAATAAAAATTATAAATAAAATTTATATAAAAAATAAATTAACTAGGTGTTCCTTTACTACCTCTTTTCCTATCTAGGGCTGCAGCTCCCTCCTTACATCATTTATTATGTTATCACCAGGCTGGGCATCACTTTCTTTTTGGGTGAAGACAGACGCAAAGTGTTTAGTGGTTCCACCTACTCCATGCAGAGGACCTACCACTTGCTTGTTCTTCCTCTTACATCATACATAGCCAAAGAAACCTTTTCTATAGTTTAACCTCTTGCAAGCCTGAGCTCATTCTGAGCTTTAGCCAGCCTGACCTTCACCCTGCAAATGTTGGCTACCCCTGTAAACTCCTCCTTTGTGATTTCCTCTTTCTTCCATTTCTCATACATCCACAGCTAATCTGTAAGCTCCTTATGCAGTCACACTGGTTTCCTTATGGGTCTCGCATTTTTCTTTCTTGTTTGAATGGTCTGCATTTGGGCCTTCAATATTTCTCCTTTAAGAAATTCCCATCCATCTTGGACTCCTCTTTGAGTATTTCTGACCATGGGATCTTCACACCTAGTAGCTCCTTCAGCCTTCTTAAAGTCCAGAATGTATGTCCAATTACACTCAGCTTTCCCTTGCAGAAGGACATGATCAATTTCTCCCAAATTTCTGAGTCCTTGCACTCATATCAATCCCCCCCATTGGAGAGGATCAGGTTCAAGACAGTTAATGCCAGTGCTTTTTTTCTGGGGGGATACAGGGGTAAGTATACCCCTAAATATTTTGTGAATTTAAGTTTGGCCTCATTGAGGGGCAGTATTTCAATATGAGTAGGAAACCGAGAGTACCCCTAAACATTTTTTAAGAAAAAAAAAGCACTGGTTAATCCCCTTGTTGTTTCTTCCACTTTCTGGGTAATGAAATTATGAGTAATTTTTGGACCTTGCATTCTTGGAAGAGTTTGAGTTCCAACAGATATCAGAGAAGTTGAAGTCTCCTATGACTATTAGATCTCTACGTTTTGAGGGTTTGGTAATCTGTTCTAGGAAAGCATCATTCAAGTCTTCAGTCTGGCTTTCTGGTTAAGAGCAGACACCCATAGTAAGGTCTCTGTTGTTTCTCCTACAATTTTTACCAATATACTCTTAATCTGCTTTCTGTGGTCCAGTTCATGGATTGCTTCACAAGTGTACTTCCTTTACGTATAATGCTACTCCTCATCCTTTCCTGTTTGGTCTATTCCTTTTGAACAGGTTCTACCCATCTATTTCTACATTCTAGTCATTGGTCTCATCCTACCAGGTTTCGGTAATGCCTGTCAGGTCATATTTGCCATTCTGTATTAAAAGCTCCAATTTGTCTTGCTTGTTTCCCATACTCTGTGCATTTGTGTAGAGATAACTGAAACCATGAGTCGTTCTCTCTAGCTGCTTCTAGTTTCTTGGCCATAAGTAGGTTCTGGAGCACCACTTCACTTCTTCTGTCATCTGTAGTCTCCCTCCCTCCATGATCTTGTTTAAAGCTCTTTGGGTTCACAAGTCTCTTAGAAAACACACTGTGAGATACAGCCCAACCCTTGCCTCAAAGAAGTGGAGACCATGATCCAAGAAGCTAAACCCTTCCTGACGACACCACTTTTACATCCAGTGGTTTACCTCAATTATTTTCCTCTCTCTTCTTTGGCCACGACCTTAAACAGGAAGGAGTGATAAAAACACAACCTATGCCCCAAGGCTCTTTAGCTTCCTGTCCAAAGTCCCAGGCTGTGTGTGGTAGTATTATTTGTATCCAGATGAATCAGAAGGAAGGGCTAGTGGTTAGTGGACTTTATAAGACTTGGCAACTTCTCTGTCACATCATGAATCTTTGCACCTAGAAGACAGCATACCTACCAGGAAATCTTGTTTATTCTGCACATTGCTGCCACTGTTCCCCTCAGTAGAAAGTCACCTATCACCACCACTCATCTCCTCTGTTAGGGGCAGGAATCATTTGATGCACTGTGCCTTCCAAAGCCTGCTTGGAGTGCTCTAAGGTCTGCACCTGCTGCTTTTGAGTCTTCCCCACTTGTCTATTGGAGATTATTTTGATATCGTGGGGATAAGTTACAAAGGCAGGAACCGTACGGTTTGAGTACTTCCTACAAATTCCTCTCAGCTGGCCATCTCTAGAGTGCAATTCTCTTTCTCCAACATCATCTCCATGGAAGATAGTAACAAACTCCAAAGGAAAATTCAATGACTATGTTTAAAAATGTGTAGGGAGTATTTGTGAAGATGAATGGTCAACCAGGAAGGGTGAAGTGATCACCCTTTTCTCACCCCTGGGCTGCTCTTCCACCTTCCATGATGACATCATCTGATTCTGATTCTAATATTCTCCTAGTCCCTTCCTCACATTCTGCAGGGTTACCATAGAGACAGCAAGAAACAACTTTGCACCATCGCGATTCCGTTGCCCACTTATTACTGGATGTCGTTCAGTAAGCAGTGTGAGGCGTGCTCTCAGATTAGATAATTGTGTTTTTTGTGCCAGCATTCTCATCAACATGGCAGGTAGGAAATTGTGCCATCTAGATGTTCACCTGTTCTGCTTCATTGTCCCATGAAGCTGACAGAGAAGCCAGCTGAGAAGTTAAGGATTTATAGGTGGGGAATGGATGAAATCTTTGGACAACTTGAGAGACGATAACATACACGCAAGTGGATGCTGTGATAGACAGCAAGAGAAAAGGGAGAAAGGCAGGTTCCCTTAAAAAGCCACCCCAGTTGGTCAAGGTCCCAGTACCCCCCATGGGGCTTAGATAAGCCATGACTAAGGCCCATTCAATTTCCTTCAGTGGGACTTAGTCTTGGATTTATCTTTCACTAGATGTGCCGATGAATTCTGAGGCTCCTTCAAAATCACATATTTATTTTTGGTACTACTGTCCATCTACATTGCATTTTGTAGAACAATGTACATTGCACTTGTCCAAAGCAGCTTATGAACCAGGAATTTCCAAGGAGCAACAACACAAAACATCAGTTTGGGTGGAAAAGCAGTAGATAAATAAGTAAATATCCATAAATGATCAATATTGATCCAAAACCGAAAGCAGTTTGGTTAGAGTGAGAGCCTGAAATAGCAATTGTTCTGTAGATGAATAATGATCTTTGTTGCTGTTGTAACCCCTATCTCACCAAATTATAGAAACAGGTGAGCTTAACAGGTGTAAGATTTCTTTTCTCCACCTTTCCCAGGTCTCAAAGACCTGTTTTGATGTAGAGAGGCCAGGACTGTGCACTGTACGGTATTCCAAATGTGGAATACTCCTTCCCGCAGAGTTGAAATGCTCAAATGGTTCTGTGACCAAAACAGCTCATTGACCGTTGCTGGTGTGATTTTAGGAGGGCTGCGGAGTCATAAGTTACTTCTAACTTCTTCATATTCTTTTGGCATAATGACATTTCTTATATCGCTGGGGATGGCAGTTTTATAATTCCAGCAGTACTCAGGGGATAAACACCTTGGTTTGTTTGTTGAGGGGCTAATATTTGTTCAGGTGGCTTTTGTCATGCCACACTGCCTCAAAGTTGTGCTCCTTGTCCTCCTGGATGCCTTTATAGCATTGGCAAGTGGGGTTCGGGACACGCAGTGGGTGCCTCACAACACAGCCCCTCTCTCTTCCTGGGCCATGACCTTCAACAGGAAGGAGTGATGAAAAGACCACCACCCAAGGCTCTTCAGCTCCATGCCCAGAGTCTCATAGTCCCTTGCTGCAGGGACTGTTAAAGGCTGTGTGGGGCAGTATCATTTGTACCCACACGAATCTGAAGGAAGTGGTAGTGCTCAGTGGGCTTGATAACACTTGGCAACTTTTCCGCCACATTGTCAATCTTTGCACCTGGAAGACTGCACATCTCCTGGGACACCCTGTTTCCTCCACACACTGCTGTCTCTCTTCCCCTCAGTACGGAGTCACCTGCCACCGCCACATGTCTCCTCCTCCTCTGGGGAGGGGTAAGAATCATTCTATGTGCTGTGCCTTCCAATGGCTGCTTGGAGTGTTCTAAGGTCTACAAGTGCTGTTTTTGAGTCTTCCCCTCTTGCCTATTGGAACTTATCTGGATATTGTTAGGATAGGTTTCAAAGGCAGGAACCTTGTGGTTTTAATTCCTACTTCGTCCTCTCAGCTTGCCTTCTCCAGACTGCAATTCCCTTACTCCAATATTGTCTCCATGGAAGGTAGCATTCTTAGTTTCTTTTTATTTATGTTTTTAAAGTGTCCATCTAGACCAGCATCCTGTTCTCAAAGTGGCCAATCAGATGCTCCCAGGAAGCCTGCAAGCAGGACTTGAGTGCTACAGCTCCCTCCCCACTTACGATACCCAGCAACTGGCATTTAGAGATGTGTTGCCTCCCACGGTGGAGGTAAAATATATGCATCCTGGCTAGGAGCCATTATAATCAACAAATTAATTAATCTTCTTTTAAAAAAAGCTTTGCATTGGGGCATCAGGTTGGCCACTATGAGAACAGGATGCTGCCCTAGATGAGCATTTGGCCTGATCCAGCACGACCCTTTTTATGTTCACTGAAAGGATTACATACTTTTATATATGTTATATTAGGAAAGGAGGAGCAAAGAATGCAATTCTAAGCCAGTGGCCACAGCACAAGGCATTTGTTAGTTACCAAGAGCATCAGAACCCCTTTTTCCTAGTTGGCATTCACTTATAAACCATAATTCCATGTCTTCTAATGTTTTCCATGGAACAGGATATGGGTCCCACAACCCACATTTTATTGGGCAGAAGCTGCAAGCCAGCGGCACCATGACAGTGAACTTCCCTTCAAAAGAAGTAATCAGGAGAGGCTTGCCGAGGGAAACCAAGACCCCAAAAAGGCCTTGGAATATTAAATTAATCTAGTATGTAGCTCTTAGTCATAGATTCTGATTTAGCCAAGGAGTGTCCATGACTGATTTATGCAAACCTGTGCTAAGGCTACTCTTTGAATACAGTGTGCAGTTCTGGTCATCTCAACTTTGTAAATGATATTGTGGAGTTGGAAAAGATTCATAAATGGGCCACCAAAATGATCGAGGAAAGGTTAGTGCATGACGTCACACACACTATGCCCTCCCAACCTGGCCAGACCCACTCAGCCTACCATCCACCAAGCACATTTTCTGGAGGAGCATGACCAGGGCTCCCCACCAACAGGCTCCCATCTGCTCCTGGCTCTGGCCAAGGCACCTTCCTCAGAGTGGAGAGTTGGCAGCAGAGAGCTGCCACCGCTCTCCTCAACTGGGCTGCACCGCATGAAGCTCCGCTGCAGTGGAGAGCGGCTGCAGTGTGCAAGACGCCCAGCCATGGCTGCTCCATCTCCAGGTCAAGCCTGACTCGAGGGGCTGCTGTGTGTGAGGGAGGGTGATGTTCACCCTTGCACATCCCACCTGACAATAAATAGTCCAAACTGTTTTAAACAGTGGGGAAAAGATGTAACAAACTTCATTTCATGGGGGGAAATCCTGCATAAAATACAAAAACCTGACAGACGCAGGAGAAAGATGGAGATTTGCCCTACCTGATCTTAGACTTTACTATGAGGCAGCATGCCTTTGCTAGATGAAAGAATGGATGGAGCTAAGAGATACCAATATTTTAGATACTATGCTTTGGATGGCATACCTATTTGCATTATGACAAAGCAAGGGTACACAAAGGATTTCAAAATCATGCTATGAGAAGAAGCATATGCGCTGTCTGGCAGAGACATAAAGAACTCAGAGACAAAAAACCCCAAGGTTGAATATGGAAAACCGATGGGCTACTTACAATGATTTTACAGAGTTTAAAGAGGGAAGGGTTTATCTGAAAAAAGAGAAGAGGTATCAGATTATACTATAGCTTGGTTTCAGTACCTCCAGGTGAATGAGTTATTTAAAAGAGATAAAGAAAAGGGTTTTGGGGAAACGTGTTCAGAATTTGAAAAAAAGGATGATAAACTAATTTATAATATTTATAAACTGTTATGGGGTGGGAGACTAAAGAGGAAATAGTGAAGGCGACAATGATTAAATGGGCTATAGATATAGGTTATAAAATAGAAATGTCAGTGTGGGACAAACTGTGGGGGGAAACTGAATCTCTCTGCCTGCTACCTTATTAAGGAAAATTTACAAAATATGCTGTACCGGTGGTTCTTGACACCCACCAAACTGCTGAAAATGGCATACAGTGATAGCCAACTTAACCTACAAGTAGGAATGAACATATGAGCAGCAAACATTAAATAAAGGAATATTTGAGATGAAAATGGGTGGAAGAATAGAATATGCAGCTGACAAAAGATTACCTAGAATGTCATGGAGAGATGGACTGGGAAGTCTGAGGGTGAGAGGTAATGATGAACATTCTATGATGTATATATGTTTTTAAAATGCATCAATAAAATTACATAAACAAGGAACCTCTAAGTTCCCACAAAATCTCAGAATTCTATGGAACTGTCCCTAAAGCCACCCCACTCCTGCTGCCCACGCTATGCTATAAATCAGGGATATCCAACAGGTCGCTCACGATCTACTGGTAGATGCCCGGGATGTTTTGGTCAATCACAGTCGATCTCTGGGTACCTCTCCTTAGCATTGGTAAAATAGAATTGAGCCCGCCCCCTCGCCCCACCCTCCATTTTTGCACGTTCTGCAGAACAGAAGACAGAGCTTACTCAGTGAGGCTGTTCATTTCCCCAACGATCTGTTAGCGAGTGTCTGTTCCCCTTTCTCCCTAAAAATGGGCAACAGCTTAGACTTGAACTCCCCCCAAAGGGGTAGATCACTGCCAGTTTTCAATTTTGTGAGTTGATCGCAGTCTCTTGGGAGTTGGCCACCCCTGCTATAAATGGCTTCCTCACACATAGCAAGGCACTTGGCTTCTACCCCTTGTTCTGCTCCTGAACTGACAACACAAGGAATCACACCCATCCTACCCTGCTGCCAATCTTGGGCACAGAGCCAAGTGAGTTATGGCCAAGTGAACATTCTCCTGACACTTTCTTGGTATGCCTATGCAATTGTGACATGGCAGTCTTAGCATGTCTATTATTATGTATTTGAAGAGATCCATTGCACACTCATCAGATGGTTATATTCTGTGTGTCTATGAAATAACTATCTGTGAGAGAAATCTGGCATCCTTAATGCTCTTTACAGTGTAGTGAGACTAAAAAAAGAAAAAAGGTAAAGGGACCCCTGACCGTTAAGTCCAGCTGCAGACGACTGGGCTGGGGTTGCAGCGTTCATCTCGCTTTACTGGCCGAGGGAGCCGACGTTTGTCCACAGACAATTTTTCCGGATCATGTGGCCAGCATGACTAAGCCACTTCTGGCGAAACCAGAGCAGTACACGGAAATGCCGTTTACCTTCCCGCTGGAGCAGAACCTATTTATCTACTTGCACTACTGCTAGGTTGGCAGGAGCAGGGACTGAGCAACGGGAGCTCACCCCATGGCGGGGATTCGAACTGCTGACCTTCCGATCAGCAAGCCCTAGGCTCAGTGGTTTAGACCACAGCGCCACCTGCGTCCCTGTAGTGAGACTAGTAGCTATTAATTTGTGCATGTTAATTAACAGATGAAGGACTTCTTATTAACCAAAAAAAAAGCATGCATAGAAGTGTGTTTATGTGGAGTGGGGGGGGGGTGTCTGTAATATAGTTGTTTGGTGCTGTGCTGTGCTCTCTGGGGTCATCTGCACTGTAATGAGTATGGGTTGCTCGTGCGTAAGTTGCCGCCTCTCCTGGCTATGTTGCGTTGTTAAACCTTTCTGTCTGGACAGCCCTTCACTTCGTGGCTGCCTCAGTCGTTAGCAGAATCTGTCAGTGGGAGTTTCTTAAACCTTTTCCAACATAAAAGTTGTTTGACACCGAGTCTCCTCCTACTCTCCCTGCGTGGAAGCCTTCTGAGCAGGGAGGGCGTGGGTAGCGGAGGACCTGTGCTCTCCCCGCTGGTGTCCGGTGAAGAGTCCTGGAGCCCTCTCGCCGATTCCCCCATCTGCCCCACTTTATCCCTGGTGTTGCGCTGATTTGCTTCCCCATCTGCTGAGCTGCCTCTCTCCCTGCTGGGCCCTTCTCCAGCATCATTTGAGAGCCTTCCCTCTAGCTCCGATGTCAGTTCCCTGACACGCACTTATCCTGCAATTTCTTCCATTTGATCTGTGACTTCTAGGCATGGGTCTGAGAGATTTTTCTTTTGTCCCACTGATTTCCCTGGCAAAACCCATTGTTTACTGCTGAATCAGAACAAATGTCAATCTGCAGAAAAACCAACTGATGTTTGCTTTGATTTACCAGTAAAGAGGGACCCATGCCTAGAAGTCGCAGACCAAATGGAAGCGTGGCTGAGCCTTCTGTCTAACAGTCATAGGGACCTTGAAGGTTCTCCAATCCAACCTGTCCGGGGCAGGAACTGCAATGCAGGATGCAACTCCAATGCAAGTGGGGTGTGTGTGTTTGCACTGCTCAGGCAAAGTAGTAAAACATCCCCAATTACATCACTGTTCATTTCAGTCCCAAAGCCATTCAGTAACATGAACATTTTAAAACAAATTTATGAGCATTCAAAGCCCAAAGTGAAAGGAAACTATCATTAGCTGATCAAGATAAGAAGTGGTGTTTTCTTATGAAAATAAAGTATATTCCAATGTTTGTGCAGATGGCAAGGGGGATTCTATGGTTATAAAGAGCTACGTTGTGTTGAGTTAGACACACTGGTCCATCTTTTGAACCAGTTCTTTTTTTCCAATTTTTTTATTGATTTTCCAATTTTATATCAAACAGAAAACATCAAACAAACAAACAAACATTTATCCTAACTATAATAATTCCATTTTTGTTAACATTGTTAAATGACTTCCTCGAATCCCCCTAGCTGAGTTTCCATATAATCCATTGCAGCACTTTTCCAAAACTATTTTCACATAAAATTTACTTAGTCAATTTACCTCTTTCTTTCTTTTCATTTTAGCTTTAACATAGTATTTTCCATCTTTTGAACCAGTTCTACCTACTTAAAGACCACCAGTCCTTTCACAGCAGGAACTACCTGATATTCTCTTGTTGGAGTGTGAACCTGAGTTTACCACCACAAGCAACCTAGCCATCGTGTTCAAGTGGATCTGGCAATGCCTCCTGCCTGAAACTCTGGAAAGCTGCTGCTAGTGACCAATAGCCTCATTCAATATGGAACAAAGGAAGCTGCCTTATACCTGTGGTCCATGTAGCTCACTACTGTCTGCACTGATTGGTAGTGCCTCTTCAGGGTTACAGGCAGGGACTCTCTCCCAGCCATACATGGAGATGATTAAAGCTGAAAGCTGGACCTTCTGGATGGAAGCAGATGTTGTGCCACTGAGCCACAGCCCTTTCCTAAGATGCTTTCCTATGTTCTCAGTGATTCTTGGGGTTCTCTGACCAGTGGAGCCAGAGTGCACACTATTCAAACTCCAAGGGCAAACAAAATGGCCAAATAGAACCTACAAGACAATCCAATCCTACTTTTATGGAGCTTGGCTTTGCACATGCACACACCCACCGCAGCCTGAACGAAAGCATGATAATTATCTGAAGAGATATAGGAGCCCTGAGGCTTGTGGCTTTCATATGGAGTGTGTGTAATGTCTCCTCTTTCAGAGATGGCGTGAGGGCTTTGTGCGAATGCACCCTATGGGATCTGATAAAAATCCCTTTGATTCACTGGGAGAAGTTTATTTTCTCTGCCAAAAGCTTGCTTTCTTCTGAATAAATTGCTTGCTCCTTTTTTGGGGGGGGGGGGCGGAGCGGGAGGCGGAAGGGATTTTATTTTTGCACAAGCCAGGGATTTGAGGCAGAACTGTGAAGCCAGGTTCTCCTTGACTGGTTCTGATTAGAGGCTGAAATGGTAGAATAAAGAATCTGGAAAGGGTCCAACCAGCTTCTATGGTGGCGTCTCGACGTTGACATATTCTCTGGGAAACATATTATTTTGCTCAATCTTCTCCAGAGTTCAGAGCTGCCTTGGCCAGATCATCTGGTTTGGAGAAGCGGGCACTGGAAAGCACCAGAGGATAAATTCACTGTACCAATTAAGGAACTTAAGAACAAACAAAAGGTTCATGGCATTGTTATTCATTCCATTTCAAATTCTGTTTTTCAAATCCCAATCAGCCAGATTTCATGGAGATTTAAAATCTACCCATTTGATTTTTTTACATGTTATGCCTGCACTTAAATTTCTGTTTTACATGAATTTATTTCTTTAAAATTTTGTCATCCTCCTTTCCATTTTTCGGTGCTAAAGGTGGCTTATGTAAAATCACTAAGAATAAAATGAACAGCAGCTTGTGTAAATCAGCAAAAGACCTTGGATGTGTTTAACAGTGGGTCTGGGACATTTCTAGTTCCAAGACAAACTCATAGGATAAATGGACTTGTTTCTAGTTAACCTACTTCCTTGGATGCTTTTAAGCAGAGGTTGGATGGCCATCTGTCATGGATGCTTTAGCTGAGATTCCTGCATTGCAGGGTTTTGGACTAGATTACTCTTGAGGTCCCTTCCAATTTGACAAGTCTATGTTTTATTGTCCATAAGCTGCTTTGATCACATTGTGAAGGTTTTGATCACCCTACGTCAGTGGCCTCACCTCTGTTCATGTCTCCTTGAGCCAGCCCAGCCAATTACGGATCATTCAGTTTTTGTGATGGTATAAGGCATGGATAGATCTTTATTACTGGTCAATAGCCCTTGCACGTTTCTTCACCCATAAGTTCTTTCTGTCCCTTTTACTCATTTGTTTGCTTGAACCTTTTCAAGAATGAATGCAAGTGCATATTTATAAATATTTTTAAAACATATTTTCCTTCAAAAATGCAAATCCCTAAGCATGTCTTCTCACAAAACACGTTAAATTGCCTTATAACATATATTAATTTAGCTGAGAACATCCAAGTATAGCAGCAGGAGGTAGATAAGCAGAGTTAAAATGTGGCTGGATGGGTGCCTGAGAATTACTGTATCACTGGAATGGGAGCTATTAAGGTAGCAACAAAAGCAGCAGTGTGGAACTTTTTGCAGCCTGAAGGCCACATTCCTTCTGAGCAACCTTCCCAGGGCCCGTGACCGTGGTGGGTAAGGATTTTCAACATATCATTTTCAACAATAATTAAACATACTTTCATGTCTTACACCATTTTTTTTTACTTCCATCAATCACATCTGAAAATTTTCCAATCTATTCACTTAATATACATTTCTTACTTCCACTATTACATTTAAATCTCATAACTAATATCTCTATTCTTTCTATACTTTGTAATATTTCATATATTTTTCCTTACAAAAATTCTTGTAATCCTACTAGTGTAATTAGTTGATTACTGTTGCTCTTCAAATAATTCGTATATTTCTTCCAATCTTCTGTGAATCTCTGGTCCTGCAGGTTTCGAATGCTTCCTGTGATTTTATCTAATTCTGCGTAGTCCATTAATTTTGTCTGCCATTCTTTCGTCGGAATTTCTTCTTGCTTCCATTTCTGGGCTAACAATACTCTTGTCACTTTTGTTGCATATAAAAACAATTTAACATCTTGCCTATTAATATCCCCATCTATAATACCAAGTAAAAATGCTTCTGGTTTTTTTAAAAAATGTATATTTCAACATCTTTTTCATCTCATATATCATTTCCCAGAAGTTTTTTTTTACTTTCTTACATTCCCACCACATATGATAAAATGTTCCTTCTTTTTCTTTACATTTCCAACATTTATTACTTGTCTTGTACATTTTAGCTAATTTCACAGGTGTAATATACCATCTATACATCATTTTCATCATATTCTCTTTCAAAGCATTGCAAGCTGTAAATTTTATTCTTTCTCAGATTCTTGCATTCTCAGACAGCACACATGCCCTTCTGTCATATTTCAACAGTGCTAGGTGATGACACAAAATGGTATCAGTAATTTGTACAGTGACATAATGACACAGATACCAGCCAATGGGGCCTTGAAACACTAGCACAGATGCCTTTTTTCTGTACCTGGGGAAGATAAGACTCCCTTTACTTTCATCAGTACAATTGTATCACTTCCAGGAACAGCAGTGATGGCCATCTGGTGGGAACATGAGCAGCCAAAATACCTTCTGTTAAAAGAGCAGGAATAATGGGCAGTCACTTCCCTCCATTAAAAGACAGTCCTTTATTGCTCAGCTTTAACATCAACCAGAGTTGGGGAGATTGCAGAATGAGAAGGAAATGAATTATTTAACTTAACAGGCCTTTTGGCGGGGTGGGGTGGGGGAGAATGTGTTTGCCTTCCTCACTGCTGGTCAGTACTAGATGAATGGAAAACTTCAGAAACCTGTCAGTATGCTATAGGAAAATGAGAGAGTCACTGTGTTCCTTCCTTCCATTTGTGTTCAGTGCAAACTTAACTTCTCCTCCCTTCCTAACTGCTGTTGATAATGATCTGATCTGAAAGCCTCAGTGCTTTTTGTTACAGATACTAAAATAAATCCTGATTCTTCCTGCTGGGAGGAAGCAGTCACGTTCATTAGGATATCATGTACCGTACTTAAAGCAGAAATGGAGAACATCTAAGGGCTGTTGGGACTCCAACCATCCGAAACCATTGACTATGCTGCCTGGAACTGCTGGGGTTTCAAGTCCAACAATACCTGGAGAGTCACAGTTCTCCATCCCTAGTTTAGGAGAATCGATCCATTTCAGACCCAGTTTAGAGGCTGAATTATTCTGCAGCGGCATAATGTGTTTGTGTGTAGGGGGGTGTCCATGGGGTTCATGCCCTTGGCACAATTTTGTGAGGGGGAACAAACAGGTGCCCTCACAGCAGTCCTCTTCATCGGAGCCTGGCTCCACGCAAGAAGGAGTTGTGCCTTGGCTGTGGCGCTTATGCCTGGCCACAGCTCTGCCCCCGGGTCAGGCCTGACCTGGCAGCAGAGAGGAGGAGGAGAATGGGTGGCAATTTCCCTACCCCTCTCCTGCCCTGGACTGTGGCACGCAGGAGGGCATCCTGCTGCCTTGGGGGTGCACCTTGTGCGCTCGCCCCGGGCAGTGCAGGCACATGCTCTACCGCTGTTATTCTGTCAAAATAAGCAGTCTAATCAGCCAGATCACCTAGGTCTGCAACTTATTTCAGTGGCACACTTTGTGTTTGTTCCATGTCAATTCCTAAAGGTAAAGGTAAAGGGACCCCTGACCATTAGGTTCAGTCGTGACCGACTCTGGGGTTGCAGCGTTCATCTTGCTTTATTGGCCGAGGGAACCGGCGTACAGCTTCCGGGTCATGTGGCCAGCATGACTAAGCCGCTTCTGGCGAACCAGAGCAGCGCATGGAAGCACCGTTTACCTTCCCGCTGGAGTGGTACCTATTTATCTACTTGCACTTTGATGCACTTTCAAACCGCTATGTTGGCAGGAGCAGGGACTGAGCAACGGGAACTCACCCCATCGCAGGGATTCAAACCGCTGACCTTCTGATGGGCAAGTCCTAGGCTCTGTGGTTTAACCCACAGCACCACCCGTGTCCCTTGTCAATTCCTAGCATTAGGCAAAATGAGGCAGGTGCTTACATGGTAGATATTGAGGGACGAGGAGTGGTAGCAAGGTACTGGAGGATAAAACTTTGACCCTGCCCCCCCCCAAGCTAGCTTGCTTCCCTCATTTGTGTTGGAGAAAACTTTCCTATCCCCAGAGTTGAAGTAAAGTCTCATCTGTAGCATATATTTAAAGCACTCTGATGGCATTTGAAACAGTCATTACTTCTCTCAAAGAACCCGGGGAAGTACAGTTTCTAACAGTGCTGCTAGGAGACCCCTATTCCCATCACAGGCCTAGAATTTCCATAGTGGTTTAACAATCAATCTCTCTTTCTAAGGAACTCAGGGAAATGTAGCTGTGAGGTCTGTAATCCCTTCTCAGCACTCTTAACAAACCATAGTTTCCAGGATGCTTTACAGAAAGCCATGGCTGATAATTAGCCCTTTAAAAGTACAGTGCAGATGTGGCCTGAGATTAAACTGCTACTGTGGTCAGCTTGTGTATATTAACCAGTGAAGCGACACTTTAGGCCATGGGTAGGCAAACTAAGGCCCGGGGGCCGGATCAAATCGCCTTCTAAATCTGGCCCACGGACGGTCCAGGAATCAGCATGTTTTTACATGAGTAGAATGTGTCCTTTTATTTAAAATCCATCTCTGGGTTATTTGTGGGGCATAGGAATTTGTTCATCCCCCCCAAAATAATAATAATAATACGGCCCCCCACAAGGTCTGAGGGACAGTAGACCGGACCCCTGCTGAAAACGTTTGCTGACCCCTGCTTTAGGCAGTTAAAATGTCTTGGGTTTGTTTTCTGTTCTGCACATTTTGAGTCCTAGTTGGTTGGTTTAAGATTTGTTTCCATGTTCTGGTCTGATGCTGGAACTTACAGCAAAAGCCGGGAGCAAGACATTATACATGGCCAGCTCTGAGTGATTAACTTGTTCTGACCAAAGCTGGGAGCAGACTGAGGTTGATTTTGCTCCACCCACTTGTGAGAACAGAGCCTTGAAGGGCCAGCCCTCTGGACTGTCAGTGTACAGTGGGAGGCATTTGGTTCCTCAGACTCTGGACTTATAGACTCTGGTGTTCTGGGATGTTATTGTTCAACCACCTCAAGTGCAATGGTTTCCCTATCTTTTGAAAGCAGCTCTAAGTTCTGACCTAGACCCAGTTCCCCATCTGCTGCCCCTGCAGCCTCTGTGTCCAGAACACTGGTGGATGCAGAAAGCATGACTTTTGTTTAGGCTGAGTATTGGTTTTTCAGCTTTAAACAGGGTTCTATAAGCCATTAAAATGTAATGTGGGTTTTTCACCCATCCCTGTCAAACAACATGGAAATATCTTAGATCAGAGGTTTTCAACCTTTTTGAATCCACGGCTCCCTTGACCAACTATATTCATTCTGTGGCACCCCTGTGGGGCTCAGGAGCCCAATTATGTCATCCTTTGCCTGCAGAGCTGGCAGCTTCTCATTCTTTTTCAAACACTCTCTGAAATATACTCAGAGTCCTGTAGTGATTTCATGTTCTTTATTGCAGTTTGTAAAACAGTGATTTAATTGCCCCTCAAAGCTCAGGCTTTTATATACATTATTTACACAATCAGTGGCGTAGCGTGGGTTGTCAGCACCCGGGGCAAGGCAAGTAATTTGCGCCCCCTAACCTGTGGATTTGCGCCCCCTAACCCTAACCCCCAGATGTTGCGCCCGGTGCAGCCGGCCCCCCCTGCACCCCCCACGCTACGCCACTGTACACAATGAGTTCCATCTGATTGGCTGATTCTGCTTCCCTCCTGGAGCCTGATTGGTCTTCTCCTGCAAGCCAATCAGTTGTTGCATTCTAGGATCCTACTTGCCTGTTGTTCTAGGATCCAAGCTTAGTACATAACACGCTCCCTTGTGGAGTGTTCCCTCAACCTCCTCTCCTCTCCCCTCTGCTTGGGAGTCCTCTAGGCAGCTGCTGCTGCTGCTGCCCCTGGTCTCTGAGCTGCCCCCTCCCACCCTAAAGAGAGGTGCCTCCTCACACTGCCCCACAAGGGCCTGGGGAGAGGATGCTCCAGCCTTAGTGACCTGATGGAGACTGGCCGAAGGTGAATGTGAGGCCTGCACCTCACCTTGGGAGGCAGCAGTAGTATCAGTGGGTGCTGCCCGGTCTGCATGGTGGAAAGGCTACCCTTCAGCACTGGGCACTCAGCTTCCAGATGGGCCTTGCACACGGCAAGCACAAAAAAGGTCAGCACAGTGTCTGCCTGCCTGTCCGGCCTCCCACTTGTCTGTCCATTCCTAACAGCAAGGGCTGGTGAACTGGCTTGCTGGGCTCCCTCGCCCACTTGCTTGCTTATGCCGGCTGCCTCAGCTCCTGGCAACCAGCACCCCCTGGCCAGCCCCAGAGGCACCATTCGCCTGCAGAGCTTGTAGCCAGGGCTGCTGCAACAAACAGCTGCACAAGTTTTGGGGAGGCAGAGATGGGAGAGGGCATCAGAGGAGGGACGCAAGGAAAGAAAGAAGGACAAAGGCCAGTGTTGTTTGCGATACCATCCTTCAAGGCACCCTAGGGAGCCATGGCGCACTGGTTGAAAACCACTGTGTTAGATGGTATCTAAGCATTTGGCAGGAATTATGAAAAAGCCCAAGTGGGTGAAGGGTGATAGATTCCCTACTTCTGTTAGTCCTGCTCCACCATTCCAGAGCATGCATGCATGTGTGTGTGTGTGTCTGTGTGTGTGTGTCTGTGTGCGCGTGCACACGCACACACACACACACACACACACACAGCCATCTCAGGGGAAGGGGATTAAACAAATCAATGAATTAACTGGAAGAGAAAGAAAAGAGGTTGTATAAAGCAGGAAGCCATCCTGGACTAGCGATGAGGGAGAGAGTTGGTTAATTTTGCATTTAAAGGTGGATCTATCTAACTGGCACTTTCCTGAAATGATACGAGAAACAAAATGCAACCATTCATTGCAAGTCCACATTTTCGGTGCAGTTATCTAGCCTAAGAACGGGTGTAAAAAGTGTACATAAAATGCATTTGTTACTGAAAAGAGCATACACAAATGCATTGCATTACGAGAAACTGCTTGGGGGGAAAACTCTAATCAAGGCAAAATGCCACACACAAAAATGTGTGATTAGGAGAAATTTGCACTAAAATGCTGATGAATTTTCATGAAGACTTTTTGTTTTAAAGCATTCACAGACTGATGTGTAACTGTAGAGGACTAATGAATGGAAAGATGGAAAACCAAGATTGACAGATCTGCTCATTCCTATCCCAAACCCGGATGTGTGCATTCTTCTGTGTGGGAGTGAGCCCTGCCCATAACTTCTTACCCTCTTTCCCCCTTAACAACATAGTTTTATTATATGGATCAGGCTGGATCAGGCCAATAGCCTATCTTCTGTTCTCACAATAGTGAGAAACCCACAAGCAGGATTTGAACACAAGAGCACTCACTGCTGTGATTTCCAGCAACTGCTATTCAGAAGCTTTGCTGACTCCAGCTGTGGAGGCAGAGCATAGACATCATGGCTGGTAGCGTTTGATAGCCCTCTCCTCTTCTTATGCATCAGGAAGGTAGGCTGGGGGTGGGGAGAGCTGTATATTAGATGGGACATTCAGAGTCAGGCTGAGTTCAAAAGTGTAAGGACATAACTGAGAATCAGGTCAGACCTTTACAATGATAGAAATCTACATTCAGCACACATACACACTGTTGAAGTACCACACTATACCTGTGTTTTCATTGCATTGGAAGCTCTCTCAAGTGTTATTGGAAGGTTAGTGGGTGGGATGCAAAAGCATTTTAGGTACCTATCAGCCAGTGCTTGCAACATCACTGCACAAATATCTCCCCTACGTGACTATGGTACCACTCGTACACACCACAATGACATTTCATGAATAGCTCTCCCGTTTTAACATTAAGAAAATCATGCACGTTTGGTCATACCTTCTTCCAGTATTGCAGCATACTGGGATATCATTGTTGGAAAAGTCAGTAAAGGTCTATCACAAGCACTATTGCTTCTGTGAATGTTATTCCAGTAGACTGAAGAGAGAGACTGAGAAACATAGAGCATCCTCTCTAGCATATGCACTCTGAAAGCAACTCGCTCATCTGTTGTAAATCTGTTGACTTCTGCTAACATTCCTGGTTCCACGCCCATTTTGTCCAGGTGCACTTTTGGTCCAGATGTGTGTTGGCACCAGTAAAATCAGAACTGATAAAAGGAAGAAGCAGAGCCATTATTTCTCAACCAGCAGACACTCTGTCAGCTTTTGAGGCTTAGACACTGATCATGTGCATGCTGGAGGGTTAAACATAATGCGATAGCCAGCCACTTTACTTGGGGTAAAAGTGACACCTGATGCATCTTAATACATTGTTTTGTACACAAACAAAAAAATAAGAAAGGTCCACACCTCACTTAATGTTTCCTAAATTTTCTTTTCTTTTGTTTACTCCCTATATGAGAAATGGAAAACCTTTCACCTTGCAGACGGCACCTCCTATCAGCCCCAGACACTGTGGCCAATGGCCAGGGATGATGGAAGTTGTAATCCAAGAGCAGTTGGGGGGCCATCTCCATCTTTACAAGCAGGGCTCCTCCAGATGACCTTTTTATTGAGCATTCATGGAACTTAGTCCATGTCCAGTCTTTATTGAGAATTTGCTCACATTTATTGACTGATTTATTTAAATAATTTGTGCCCCACATTTCACATGTGTCTTCTGGCTATTTTCCAGGAGCCACATGCCAGTGGTGGACACAAAAGTGGGTGGAGCAATTGGTGCAAATTTTAGAGTTTGTAAAGCAGGGTACTTTCTACATATACTCACACATCCATCTTTATCCTACAACCAGGAACTCAAGACTCGTGATCAGAGTTCAATGACACATTCCAGCCAAACAAAACTGCCGAAGGATGATGCACAGCAGGCTTGTGAAGGCTGTGGCTAGGAAGAGGGTGTGTAGCCTGAGGAGAGTCCTAAGGACCAGGTGAAAAGGCTGGGTGGCCACCTCTTGTGCCCTGCCTCTGAAGATTCTCTGTCCCTGGAACAGAGTATTCTGGGAGAAGACATGGGTGTCTAGACATGAGCACTCCACACTGAATTGAATTTTGCATTTCTACATTTTGTTGCAGGACCCACTTGTGAATTTGTAGTTTTCAGATATTCCAGCTGCCTTTGAATTCAGCATTATCATAGTAGACTATCCATCATGCAGCTGTTTTGCAGCTGCTTTCTTTCTGTGGCTGCAGGAGCCTAGGCTTGTCAAGGTGTAGGAATGAAGAGCTTGGCAGGTTGTAACACTCATAAAATCCAAAACAGATCCATTTGCTGCCTTTGTGCCTTCTTGGTGGTCTAACTATTCCACTATTGATCAAGTTGTAAGGAGGGTGGGTGGGTAGGAGAGAGGACCACAAATGCTTTCTTTCTTTCTTTCTTTCTTTCTTTCTTTCTTTCTTTCTTTCTTTCTTCTTTCCCTCCCTTCCCAGCCCACAAAATTCCACTGAAATAAAGGTCTCAAGAAAAGTGGCCAGGAAAGACCTTTGGTGTGTGGTCCCCAGTAAGCAATTGATTATTGTAACCACTAATAACTACTGTACCTCTATGTACATATGAAATGTCTTAAATCCACAGGAAAAGAAGAGAGAACCCACTTGAATGGTAAAGAATTGGTCATAAGCTGATCTTTCAAATAATGCCATTATGTGTCCTCCAACATAACAAAACCACAAGACCTTAAGAAGAGCCTCATAAATCAGTCCAAAGCCCATGAAGTTCAGCATCCTGTTTTCACAGTGGCCAACCAGATGCTTATGTAAAGCCCCCAGTCCGGGAGCAACAGCACACTCCCCACCTGTGATTTCCAGCAATTAGCATTCACACTGACTCCAACTGTAGAAATAGAGCATAGCCATATTGGAATCTAGAGATGTCAAATACTGTTTCTGCAGGCACATCTCCTTCAGATATGTCCTTTGAATCCATGGGTTCTTCTCCTGAGGATGGGGAGTCATGACAGTACCAGACACAAGCATTTTCTGGTTCATAATCAAGTCCAGCTACTGGCAAGTTGTGCCAAGGGACCTAATTTGGGTTTATTTCCTGCACCAGCCTGGCATTAAAACATCAAATATGCAGACTTTTCCTATATTCACCCACCCACTTTCTACCTGATCAGCAAGAGTTACAGAACTCTGGTTGCAATGAGGTCTCTGCTGTACAATTAAGTCCTACTGCTACCCACAGAAGTTAGGCTTGCTCTCTGGGTTATCTGAAACACCAAACTGGTAAAAAATCCAGACAATAATAATCTGAAGCACACTTCTACTTGCAATTGTATGGTGAAGTATAATCATTAATTTGGGGAAAGCACTAAAAGACATAGGAAGCTGCCTTACACCAAATTAGATCATTGGTCTGTTGAAGTCAGCAATGTCTACATTTACTGGAAGTTCATCTTCTGCATTTCAGAAAAAGGCTCTCTCAGCTGTTCTGGCAGATGCTGGGGATTGAAACTGGGACATTCTGCATGCAAAGCAGATGCTCTACCACTGAGCTATGGTCCTTCCCCAGGAGGACATAGAAAACTGCTTTATGCAGAGTCAGACCACTGGTCCATCTACAATGACTGCCAGCTATTTAGCAGGCTTTCAGATATGGGTTTTTCCAACCCCTGTATGGAAGTGCCAAGGATTAAACTTGACTTTCTACATGCAAAGAAGACGCTCCACCACTGAACTATGGATTCTTCCTGAAATGTGGCAATGGTGGACTGCACTCTTACTGGAGGAAATATGGCAAGCGGGCTCTTTAAAAAGGGGGTGGGGTGGGGGTAGATTTGAGCATTGGAAGAGGAGCAACTAACTCTGATGCCAATTCTGCAGTTCTTCAGACTCAAATCCAGAGAGCTCAGAAGTTTACAGGAAGCTTCTGCATTAAGCAATTAAGTGCCTTTCATTGGAGGATGAATGGAATGCCCATTATTATGCTCCAGACATGTTTCATTTCAATTGCGTAAACCTCCTTTTTAAAAAGAGCACTTTGCTTTCTCTGCAGAAACGCTTGTTACAGATGTCCCTTTTGAAGCATTGCCAATAAGAAGAGGGAGAATTTAAAGAAGGAAAATTAGAGCTCACTTTGTTAAGTCCATGAGACCATTTAATGATGTCATAGTAAACAGCACACATACACACACCTTCACACTTTATAGAAGGAGTGTGGGGAGGAGAAACCCATCTCTTTCAACTGCAATCTGTATATGTGCCTGAATAATTTGTGTGGCTGCCTGGGTGGCCATAATAAGCAAACCTGCTGCCTTAACATTCCGTGTAGACAGGGCTGGGTATACAACCAGGAAATGTGGAAGACATGACAGGTTTATTACTGGCTTCAGGACAACCAGGCCAGAAGTAGGGCTTTTTTAGTTGTTGTTTTTAAGGGCTACACCTGCCCTGCACAAATTATTTTAGTATGGTCTCATCTACATATTTGCCTCAATAATATTTGAAAATATGAAGAACTGTCTGGCATGTGGATCACATTATTGCTAATAATAATAATAATAATAATAATAATAATAATAATAATAAATGTCAGACAGAAAGAGGTATACATCTATAAAGAGATATAGAAGACACTGGGCTTCAAAATTGAACATTAGGCTTACTCACTCCAGCCTTTCCTTACTTCTCTGTGGACAATCACCCATGGTTTCAGCACCATAGTACTGAACAGCACCCTGCTAGGCATGAAATGAAATATCAGGGAGAGGGTGAAGTATTGGTACTTCCACGTGGCAAAAAACTGGGGCCAGCATTTGAGGTGAAGGGTACAGTCTGCATTATATTGCACTTGCAGCACAGAAGCCTCTGACACTGAATAACTGAGTTAATGCAAGATCAATGAATATTCACAAACATTCCAATTGCATGAGTTAACCCTAGGATCAGACTGCAGCTTCCATTAAGAGGACACTTTCTGTTTACTCTGTTCTTGAAAGGTGAAAATGCCCACAAAGTTAAGGTGACCAACATGCTTCTGCTTTAAACCATCAGCATCATCTATGCCTATGGTGACATTAAGCCCCAGTATTTGCTTAGCTTGAAGGACCTCCAATAATAGATGTTGCTGCTCAGCAAAGTTGTGAGAATTGAGGTCTGTTTGACTTTGTATTCAACCAAGTTTTATTAAGAAATCAATGGACCTGTTAGTCATGTCCTTTATTTTTAATGGGTACTCAGAGTAGGACTAACAATAGATACAACCCTGTAACAACAGCCTTAAAGATGTCAGGGAGAAACAAAGGCTTTGCAGAGAGGCCTCCAGCACCACTGCTGTAGAATTCAGGAGCTTGGCAGGTAGAAGAAGCTTCTGGGTTTTGCTGCAATCTTCGCACTAGTGACGCTGCCTTTCAGATTGCAAGAAGATCAGAATTTTGGACTTGAAAAATACTGAGATATTTTCTGATGGCAGTAGCCTCATTTTTGAATTGAGCTGAGAGCTTTTCTTCCATTACATATTGTATCTTCATCACTCCCAGGGCACAGTCTAAAGGCACATGGGGGCATTATTCTGCTGACGCTAAACAGGTCTGGGTCTGGCCTGTGCCTGGATGGGTGAACACTTGGGTACCAGCAGCATGTCTGGGTCTACATGGCAGAAGAAAAGTGTGATATAAATGTAAGAAAATTTGTTGTTGTTGTTGTTTTAAAAGCATGCATCTTACTGAATTAAAAACACATTTCTCAAGCAAAATTCAGAGAGTCCATTTCAAATTCTGAGCACTTGGCCTATATTAATTAACAGTGCCCAGGAAAGCTGACTCAACTCTTTTATAGAATGCAATCGTTCTGTAATATGAAGATCAGCCTTTCTTGTTCTGGTGATGTGTGATAATAAGTGGCTTTTTGTCATCACAGATGAGACTGGATCATGAAAGGTTTGCAAATGAGCACATCACATCTTTCTTCTAATACCCTTGGAAATTTTTTACCATGAAACGACTTTGAATTAAGCTCCAAATAGAAGTTCCCTCCCGCATAATAGGTTATTTAAATGGGTAGCTGGTAATTATCATACACAGTCCTTTGGCTTAACTGATTCATTGGAGTACACAAAACAACCCCTCCTCTCTCAATTAATATTCTGCACATCAATAGGAGCAGGATATGTGTCAGACACACTTTCAATAAAAGCTTCAGCTGATGCAGTTAGAAGGAATGTAATGAGCATTTAAGAAGGCTTTAGATACTTCCAAGAATATCCAAGTTGTATGAAAACTCCCTGCATATTTCTGCCTTCCCAAACATTAGTGCAGCATGTGTAGAACCCTCAAAGTCTATACAACATTTTACTTGAAAAGGAGCTCCTGGGAATGGCTTTAACTCATTGGTAGAGCATCTGCTTTGCATGCAGAAGATCTCCCTTGCACTCCTTTCTGTTTTAGTAATGGATATTTAACCAGCATATGAATGTTATGGGGTGGCATCACCCCATATCTGTGCATTTGTGTGGTCCTGTATGTGTGTCTGAATGCCAGTGGAGGAGAAAATATAGTTTCTTTAGGATAGGGCCCCACAACATGGTTTAGCACAGGGCCCACTTAATACAACCTTGCTTAATGCAGACCAGCTGCCCGGGGGGGGGGGGGAAGCCTCTACGCCAGGTACTGCGGCAACAGCCTTTCCTTCTGTCATTTGGCAAACAGAGAGTGGAAATCCAGTTCGTGCTTTGGGCTCAAGGAGGTTTCCCCTTCATTTCTTTTCTCTGAGTGGATAACTCCAGGCTGTTCGGCAGTGCAGCCGGTGGCATGGCAGGTCGCCAGGTAAGGAGTCTGAGTCTGGCTGGCTCACTGGCTAAGAAGTGATGAGTATTGCCTTGGCTGGTATGGGAAGTGGAGTCACCCTGTTACATCCCTTTGCCAGTTTATCTGCAAATATGAAAAAGAGTCCTTTGTAGCTTTGGCTGCAGCTTTCCTGAAACTCATGGAGTAAATGCAGAATGTGGCCTTTATAACACTTATCAGGACTGACCCAAGATGGGAAGAAAGAACATATTGGGTGGAATGGGGTGGGGAACGCCCCCTTTGAAATGCCCCCTCTCCCAATTTCAGCGGTCATTTATGGGATCCATAAATTGGAGTGAAAATCTTTTCCCATTCAGAATGAGGGCAGGAGCACTACTGAGTGTTCCTTCACTGCCACATCTCTGCCTGCCCCTAAGGTTGCAGGGGTGGAAGAATCTGCCAGTTTTGTTTTCTCTCATTATCACCTCCAATCTTAAATTCTCCATATCAGTTCACATTTAAAAATAAAATAAAGAAGTTGTCATGAAAATTCACCATCATTTTACTGCAAATTTCTCCAAATGCACACATTTGTATGTGCCTAATATGCACATTTTTGCAAAGCAGTTCCTCCCATCCCTACCTGGAGAACTGCTGCCAGCCAGTGTGGACAATACTGAAGTAATGGTCTGACAGTGCAAGGCAGCTGTCTGTGTTTGGAGAAGGACTATAGCACAGAGGAGGAACTTCTGCTTTGAATGCAAATGCTTCTAAGTTCCATCCTTAGCAACCTCCAGATAGGGCTGGGAATGTCCCTTTTTTAAAACCCAGGATGGCTGTGGTCATTCAGTGTACAGTACTGAACTAGATGGACAAAAGGTCTGGCTCAGCATTAGGCAGTTTCTGATTAGGGCTGTGCACCATATTTGGCTGAGACAAATTGGACATATTCACACGGACTCTGGAATCGGACAAGTCAGGTACAGCCAGTCAGAATTCCTGAAGCAAAGCAGTGTAGGGCTAGCAGGGTGGATTGGGGAGCCAATTGTGCAGTGTCCCCTTAAAAAATGTACTGGGGCTGTTGCCCTAGCAGCAGCACCCCATCCCTGTGAAGGAGAGGTGGGTATCAAAGGGCCAAGACCTTCCCCAACCTCCAGGAGAAGGTAGGAGTCAACTGCCTGTCCTTCCTGCATGGTGAAAATATGCAGGATTAGCCACTCCACCAAGTTACCAATCCTGCCTGATTCAAGTTGCTCCTTTGCAGGGGGGCTTCCCTGCAGAGAAGCCACTGACAAATGAGTACCCAGCAGAATCAACACCCCCTCATCTCCGTTGGAAGGAAGGACTAGATGACCCTTTGGATTCCTTCCAACTCTGCCATACTATAACCCAGTCCCCCACAAACTCCCAAATATTTATGAACCCCAAAAGACCAATTATAAAGAAGGAAAGAGCTTTCCAGTACTGAAGATTTTGCCAACCTCGATGGCTTTGAAAGCTCTGATAGACTGAAGGGCACAGTCTAAGGCCTTACAGTCGAATCCTGCTCTAGAGAGAGAGAGAGAGAGAGAGAGAGAGGTGTGTGTGTGTGTGTGTGTGTGTGTGTGTGTGTGTGTGTGTAAAATTGCTCTTCCAGCAAGTGTTTTTCTTTTCCTAGGACTGTTTCCCATTTGGGCCTGAACGTGACAGAAACAGATTATAGTTGAGGGCCCCTTTCTAATTACCTTTTGTAAGCTATGGAATTGACCTGCCTCCGTGGCAGTGAACTTTTCCTCCCTCTGCTCAGCTCAATGGCTTATTGTCCCACTGCCTCCCTCCCTTGCCTTTCAACTGCTTGTCATTCTACAGGAACCTCAACCAGGAGGTGGGAGTTTGCGCTGGAGAACTGACACTTATTGCTTCAGACAGACAAGGAGCTTAACTTTTTTTCACCTCCCTTGGGAATGGAGATGTTTTGGGAGGGGGGGAAGGGGGGGACCTAGAGGCCAGCCTGCTGCATGTCAGTGAAAGATGAGTTAAGCTTTTCTCTGGGCACCCTACTTGCTCATAATCTCAACAGTGCCTGGAAACTGCAGGCCAGAGACTAAAGAAGCCAGATAGGTTCACTTTGAAGTCTCTTCTACAATCACTCCCAGGTTTTGAGGGCCATTCCTGAGCAGGAATGAACAGATCAGGAATTCAGTTTTTCATATACTACATTACTAGGCTACTCAATCCCCCCCTTTTTTTTGCAAATAAAAAAGTCACAACTAAGTTCTACTCAGTGTAGACCTATTGAATTTGATAGAGCCATGCTACTCCTGTCCATTAATTTTAATGGGTCTGCTCTGAGTAGGACTAACTTTGGATACCAAGCGTTGAGGTGCAACCAATGCTAAGCCAACTCAGAACAGACCCACTGAAATTTATGAACATGAGTAACTTAGAGCTATTAACTTGAATAGGTCTAATCTCAGTAGAACTTAGCTGGAGAAAACCCAAATTGTACAATTTCCTCTGAAATACACACCTTATATGCAGCTTCTATGCATTCTTCCCCTAAATAGACATTTTTATATGCTTTTCAGTGCAAGGCCCCTAAAGCACGTATCTTTGTACATATTGCCTTGTACATCTAGCTCAGGACTGTTTTCACTGATTGCCACCACATTCTCTAAGGTTTTAAGCAGGGCTCTTCTCCAGCTCTACCTGAAGAGACTCAGGATTGAACCTGAGACCTCCTGCATGCAAAGCAGATGCTTTACTACTGAGCTACAGCTATCCCCCAAGGGGGAATGCTTCAGTCGTTAAGAATTTGGGAGCCACTGAATATTTCAAATGCATGGAGTGGTCAGAGTTTGCTTTTATTTCAAGGGTGCCCTCCTCTCTGTTTCAGACTGGGATACAAATGCACTTTGGGATGATTCATGGCAAGCAGGTCGTAAACCAAATAAATAAATGAATGACCTTGATTGCTTATAACCTTGGTTGCTTATAAATCCATAACAAAATAATTAATAAATAATTGCATACAGCATTACAAAATTAAGGGCTGCCACTCCTGCTTGCATTGCTTGCCAACCCAGCATACACTAAGCCCCTGCCAACCCCCACCCATCCCTTTACATCTCACCCACCCACCCCACATCCTCTCACAGCATCACAGAAACTGCAGCCTTACTTTTTTCTTTCAAACATTTATTAGGGGGGAAAAATATTATATAGGACATCTAACAGCTTAAAAGGTGTATTTTCTTGTAGTTCATTGTTCACAAACAAACATCCTCCAGTTCTCTATGAACAATTATTCCGTTTCCTACCCTCCTAACCATTCCTATAACCATTAATTTAATCAGCTATATGCTATATCTCAAAAGTTTCACAATCCATTCTACTGTGGTTGGAGTTTTTGGTTTTATCCCCCAGTTCATAAGCTGTGCATACACATTATGCTTCAATAAAGAAACTGCTTTTCTCAAATGATGTTGGTTGGCCATGACTCCATATTCCTGCTGGAGCTGAAAAACGTCGAGCCCACCCAGCCCACCCTGCTGATAGTTGCTGGGATCCCTTAGATAATGATCTCTCCATGTCTCATGTCTTCCTCTGGGTAAGCTTTGTTGAGGCGGGTTTCATTGTGAAAGTCCAAAGATGAGGGATTTGGTGAGATGGGGGAAGGGGTGGGATGGATTCCTGCTCTTTGCCGATAACGAAAACGTTAATGGCGGGGGGGGGGGAACCCATTAATTTTTTTTAATACCTAAGTGCCCCTTCTGTTCTCCCCCCTCCCTCACATTCCACCCCCACCCCATTCTGTTCTTCCTGAAATGAGCCTACCTTCAGGAAAGCATTTCAATCCTCTAAACCAGAGAGGGGAAGATAATCTCTGTACTGTGCGCCTGCATTTTTTTCCTGCCTCGGAGGCCTGGCCAATCTCTCCCAAGCTCCCTCCCCACCCCCCAGACTGTCCCTAGCTTTCATTCTGCCAAGCACAAGAAGAATAGACTATTCAATGCCAATGTACAGCATTTGCCTTTCGGTGTGTAGAACAAAACTGGATGAAAATAGGGATTTCTGTCGCCTGTTCTGTTGCTGGGGAGCCACAATGGTCTTAATGGATGCCATCTTTTGTGCTCAGGCGTCTTTTGTCTGTGTTCAGGATTTTCTTCAGTAAATTCTCCCTAAGGACGGGGCGGGGGGGGGGCGGGGAGAAAATTGGTGTGCATTTCCGGCTCATTCATTTGACCACCCCATCTGCCTTGGTGGAGATAAACTTCATATTTCTTCCTTTCTTCCATTTCTAAATCACTCAGGGTTCTTTCCAACTCAGTTGTGCTCAGAGTAGACCCATTTAAATTAATAGATCTCAGTTAGTTTTGTCTATTTATTTTGTTGGGCCAGCATGCTGAGTAGGACCTACACTGGATCCAACCTTCTATATGTTTAAAAATGTCTAAGTTGTATATAAAAAGAACAGCCACAAAAAGCAATAAAACCCTGTCATGAAAAACAGAATCATTAACACCCTTCCCCATAAAAACAGTACATCAAAACAGATAGTATCTACCCTATACATCTAAAGTAGCATCAGATCACTTCAAATGGACATGGCTTCCCCGAAACAATTTTGGGAACTGTAGTTTGTTCACAGGTACTGAGAGCTGCTAGGAGTCTCTGATTCCACTTGTGGAGCTACAGTTCCCAGAGTTTTCTGGGAGGAGAGTTTGGCTGCTAAAGCACTCTGGGAATTGTACTAGCTTTCTACATGGACTTGGTCACCCCTCTCTGTCCTCCATCCAGACAAAGAAGAAGCATTATCAAAGATATCAAGACCACATTTCAGCCAGACAGAAACATTCTAGGAAGAGGCAAAGTAGGGCTGAGGAGGAGGAGGGGGGGGGGAGTGTCTAATAGCCAGATAGAGAGGTTTGAGGTTTCCCCATCCCTGCCTTACAAAATCATAGCTACATTCCAGATGGGCATCTGTGCTCCTCTGCTACTTGTAGCATCCCAATGCCGAAAAACTTCACAGTGGCACCAGCTTCTTTGAATGGGAGCCTACCTCATCAGATGTGTGTTTACCCACCAGATGACATTGCGAAATCAACCACGGGAATGTGATCCAAACACTCTCATATCTGATTATTATTATGACTAGCCTACAACTGGCATGGAAATGTGCCTGAAACGGTCTGGAAAAGATCTAATTATGGGAGAGATTATTGAAACAATGTGTTTTGGCACCAGCTCAGCTACTCTGAAATGTCAGATCCAATCTGTTATCCAAACTTAGACATGCTACTACTATTATTAGCAAAACCAAGCAATTGTCAGATAATTAGTTATTGTAGTTTTAGGCAAAGTGCTGTAATGCGATCAAGGTTGTAATGTTCACATTCAGCTAGGGTTGCCATATCTTGAAGAACAAAAAAGAGGGCAGTCCGAGCCGCTGCCAGCCCGTACTCATCTTTCCCTGGCTAGGGTAGCAGCGGCTGGAGTGTGCAGAGGCACCTGTGCCAGCGCACCTCTTTCTCTGGCTCAGGCTGGCAGTGGCGGTGGCGTGCAGAGCAGCCCAAGCCATCCACGTCACCTGCGCCACCTACATATGCGCCTGAGCTGCCTGAGCTGGAACCATTGCCAGCCTGAGTGGAAGCAGCACCCAAGCTCCTATCTGATCGCTCTGCTGCAACACTTCCGCTTCTGGGGCACAGCACCGTCCTGAGCCTGTACATGCCCCCCCAAATAAAAAACACCTCCCCAACCCAGACATTTCCTTTAAAATGAAAAATCCCCCCGGATGGGCTTGTTGGCCCCCCAAAAGAAGACATGTCCATGTTTTCCTGGACAAATGGCAACCCTTATTTCAGCTCAAGGGAACACAAACGAAATCAGAACAACCAACTCCTGATTATAACCTGACATGTCATCAACTGTCTGGAATTTACCCATGGGCATAGCTAAGAGGGGGCAAGCCCATGAATTTACCCCAGCGCTTGCTAAGGCCAACCTCAGCTCTTCCTTTTATGTCTTTACTGGTTGTCTTATGTTTCATTGTGATTTCATTGTGAATGTTAGTTTGTGATATGGAACACATGCAGAGACCTCAGGGTGAAGGGTGGGTAATCATAAACCTCAATGTTAAATCAATAAGAGGGATTTCCAGCAAGGCAAGATGGCAAGCGCCATAGCCACGCTGAGCTCCTGAGGACCGCCAGCACCAACTGCGCTGCCTGGCTGGTCCCCACGCAGCCACCGCCTCCACCACTGTGATCGGGAGGAAACCAGGGATGCCCCACACCACAACCAGGGAGGATGCGCAGAGCCCCCAGCGGCCTCAAACCCACCAGGACCAGGAGCACCCTAGCGAAGGCCCAGCAGAGCTCCGAGGTCCAGAGGTCTCCAGAGCCGAACAGAAAACAAAAAGCAAAATGGAGGGGGCCCCAGCCGAGCACTAGCTTACCGTCGCCACTGCCACAGCCACTGCTGCCACTACCACCAAGGGAGAAAGGTAGGAGCAAGAAATTGTTCAGTCTTGCCCAGGCCCAACCCCATGCCTACCTCCCACACAGCTAGCGCGAAAAGTGAAGGCTGGGGGCCAGGGGAAACCATGTGCCAGACACCACCCCAGGAAAAAACAAGTGCATCATGGACCCTCCATGCTGGAAATGTATTATTATTATTTCTTATAATTCTTATTATTTTCTTTTTTCTTTGAAGAACTGTAATGGCATCCATGCAGGAGACCTGAACCATTGAAGGCTGCTCCCTGGGACTGCCACTGTAGCCCTAACTCAGGGATGCAACATTCAGGCCATGTGGACCCCGCAGTGAAATTAAAACTGCCTGTGAGTCAAAATTAACACCAATATATTTTTTAAAAAATTATATACACAAGCCCCTTGTTCATTAATACCATTAGTTTTCTTTCTTTCTTTCTTTCTTTCTTTCTTTCTTTCTTTCTTTCATTTCCACACGTTTTCTGGTATTACTCACTTATTTTTTACCTTTTTTTATATTTTGCCATGGGATGCTTCCATGATATTTTTTTTTTACAAGAGGTGCCTCAACAGTTTTCTTTAAAATCAAGATCAGTCAGTGCACTAACCTGAGACACTTAGTAGCCAGCCTCCCTGCCTTCCTGCACTTAGACCTCATGTGCACTATATTTTTAAAGCAGCATCGTGCAACTTTAAAAAGCTGTGGCTTCTGCAAAGGGTCTTGGGGACTGTACTTATTTAAGGCAGCTCAAAGATGTCAGGAGGCCCCTCACAGAGTCTCAATTCCCAGCTGGGAAGAGGGACTGACTGCTAAGCTGCTCTTATCTTTGAAGCAGTGATTGTTTAAAGTGGTATGATGTTGCTTTAAATGCGTAGAGCAGTTGAGGCCTTAAATTAAAAGCTGGAGAAGGCAGCTTGAAGAAACTGCTCCTCCTCCTCCTCCTCCTCTTCTTCTTCTCATATCATGAAGTGTGGATAGCCAGGGAGACTGAAGAGCATTGGAATAAATGTTTTTGGTTGTGTGTGTTTTTAAGCCACACCACTTTTGGCCTTCTTGCAAGGTAAGCTCAACCCCTCACCCACTGAAACGCTAAAAAAAAAAATAACCCCCGAGCACCCTGCAAATGAAGCAGAAAAATGGAAGCCTTTTTATTGAGGGAAGAAAACTCTTTTTAAATCAAAAAACGGGAGGCTAGGTTTTTGGCATAGCATGATTGTTGTGCAATCATTCTTTTTACAGAATTCTGTGAGCTGCTTGCCATAGCTTTCAGCCTCTTCATGTCATTTCT